GAGATAAGCGTGTTCTTAGTTCACTGGAGGAGCGTGGGAAGTTCAAGAGGATGAGGCTGGCACCTCCCTGAGGAATTTGTGGAGTTGTGGCTGGCTGGCTTGTGAGCTAGGTTTCAGTCTGGGGAGATTTCTGTCTAGAGGTTGTAGCTAATAAACACAGCAGAACTGGATTTGCATTGTCTCTTGGAGTTCTTTGGGCTAAACCTGACAGTAAATGCACAACAGAAAAAGGAACTCTGCTGCAGATCCCAACACATTTATTGACTCTTCATGAAGGCATGATAAAATTCTGAAATGTGAAAACAGGTTAAAATTATAGAGTTAATCATGTATTTATATGGAAGTACAAAAGTAGTAGATACTGCAAATCTGGCAAGCAGAAAACAAGGATAAGAAATTCATTTTTATAATTAAAAAAATAGGACAAATATTGAAATAGGTAAGTTTTTACTTTAAAGCAAATAATGTAAAATATATGCAGTAGCCAGATAAAAGAGAATAGCACAGAAATTTGTCACATCTGCAGGTAATTCCAGATGCTTATAAGATAGATTTTCATATGGTAGAGGGAAAACTAATTTTTGTGTAATTGCATATAAATAAGGCCAGGGGAGGAAAAAAGTTGTAGGGAATATAGAGCAGCAGTTACAATGTGATATATAAATGAAAAAGTATTTTGATTCACAAAAGGGAGGTTTAACTCTAGTGTATAGTGCTCTCTAAATAGCCATGTTATTATAAACTTGACTCATTCTATGGGCAGAGCGTAGCAACCACTGGGCTCCATTTATGTAACAGTGTTTATAATACTACAGTGGTGCTTTAAAGTTTGTGAACTCTTTTGAATTTCAGTATTTCTGTATAAATGTGACCTAATATGAGATTTGTTCTTCACACAAGTCCTAAAACTAGATAAAGTGAACCCAATTAAACAAGGAGTAAAAAACATTTATTTACTGAGGAAAATGATCCAAAGCTACATATTCATGTGTGCAAAGTATGTGAACCTTTGCTTTCAGTAGCTGCTATGCCCCCCTTGGACAGCAATAACTGCAACTAAAAGTCTCTGATAACTGTTGATCATTCCTGCACACCAGCTTGGAGGAATTTTAGCCCATTCCTCCTTACAGAACAGCTTTATCTCGGGGATATTGGTGGGCTTCCTCACATGAATTGCCCATTTCAGATCCTTCCACAGCATTTCTATAAGATTAAAGTCAGGACTTTGATTTGGCCATATCAAAGTGTTACCCTTCTTCTCCTTTAACCATTATTTGATTTTATGACTTGTGTGTTTTGGGTCATTGTCTTGCTGCATGATCCACTTTCCCTTAAGCTTGAGTCACGGACAGATAGCCTGACATTTTCCTGTAGAATTTTCTGGTACAATTCAGAATTCATAGTTCTATCAATGATGGCAAGCCGTCCTCACCCAGAGGCAGTAAAGCAGGCCCAAATCATGGTTCATCAGATGGGATAAGGTTCTTATGCTAGAATGCAGTGTTTGTCTTTCACCAAATATAACGCTTTTCATTCAAACCAAAAAGTTCTGTTTTGGTCTCATCCGTCCACAGAACGTTCTTCTAATAGCTCTCTGGCTTATCCATGTGGTCTTTTGCAAACTGTAGTCAGACAGCAATGTTATTTTTGGAAAGTAGTGGTTTTCTCCTTGCAACCCTACCATGTACACCATTGTTGTTCAGTGTTCTCCTAATGGTGATCTCATGAACACTGACATTCGCCAATGCAAGAGAAGCCTTTAGCTCCTTAGATGAACCCTGGGTCAACCATCCTGGGGAGGGTAACAATGGTGCTGAATTGCCTCCGTTTGTACACAATCTGCCTGACAGTAGACTGGTTTAGTCCAAACTCTTTGGAAATAGTTTTGTAAACTTTCCCAGCCTGGGGAAGCAACTGTTTTTCAGAGGTCCTCAGAAATCTCCTTTGTTCAAGCCATGACCCATTTCCACATCCCTGTGTTGTGAAGATCAAATTTTGATAGTGAATACCCAGAATTCTGTTCTTTAAATAAGGCAGGATCTCCCATACTCACACCTGATTATCATCCCATTGATTAAAACACCTGACTCTAATTTCCTGTTCAAATGAACTGATAATCCTAGAAGTTCACATACTTTTGCCACCCACAAATTTGCAGCTTTGGATCATTTTCTTCAAATAAATAAATGAAGAAGTGTAATGTTTTTTACTCATTTGTTTAATTGGGTTCTCTTTATCTAGTTTTAGGACTTGTGTAGAGAAAAGGTTGTGCTTTAGGTCATATTTATGCAGAAATACTGAAAATTCAAAAGGTTCACAAACTTTTAAGCACCACTGTAAATACCAAGTGCTTTCTTATTTTTATTTATTCATCTTCTATTACTTGTAGACTGCTACAACTGCACATTTTTAGTGATTCACAAACCTAAGTCAAAGCAGTAAAACCATAAAATCTAATTGTAACTACCCATTAAAAAGATCAATGAAAAATGTAAAAAAAATAGCACACCACCAAACAGATGGCAGGCAAAGTGCAGATATTAATCTCCATAAGGTTGGTTGGAACAGCTGATTAAAGTAGATGCCAGTTTGATCTTAGAAGTAGGGTTGTTCAGGAGAAGCACTGCTTCTGTAACCCCACCAGTTTCACTTTCCAGACTGAAGGTATCTGGAGCACCCTCTCATGAACAGAATGAACAGGCCAGCCAAAGTCAAATTGGAGAAGACAGTTTTGTAGGTATTCTGAGTCCATACCCTGTAGAGGTTTATAGGTTAAACCAGCCCCTTGACTTATACTCTGAAACCTATTGGAAGGCAGTGCATCCCCTCAGTGTAGATTTTACTTTGTTGAATCAGCTCACACTAGTCAGTGTATAGACTACTGCATTCTGCCCAATTGCAATCTGCAGGCAGTCTGCAAGGGAAGCCCCAGATAGAGTGCACATTGCAGTAACCCACTCCGGGGGTTATCAGGACAAGGATGATTGCTATCACAACCTCCTGATTTGTAAAGGGGCTGTAAATGGTATAGGGCTCAGCCTGATAACAACCACTGAACTACTCACCTGCCTAACGCTTATAACTGACCAATACAACTAAGCCTACCTTACTACCCTTCCATCCCAACTAACATTTCTGCAGTGTTCCCCCTTTCCTGGAAACCTTTTAGCCTTGTACACTGTAATATAAACCAGCCAATCATATTCCCCCTTTATCAACCCTCACTGGCTCTCATCTGGGGAGTGCATTCTAATGAGTCCCAGCTAGTTTCATATAATTTTCTTCAATTTACTTAACCTTTTCAGTCTGCTCCAAGCTGGATTCTAACACAGCCAGCCCCAAGCAGCAGAAATCTTCTCTGGCAACCCATCACATTTCTATGGTCCATTTCTAGCAACCATCAAATTCTTTCCCCCACATAGAAATGCTACCCATTCTAGTTTCACTGTGGTGAAACTACATCAATCTTAGCCACAGCCTAGACTAGAACTCAGGAACCATGCTCCAGACTTGCCATGGTATCTGCTACTGTTCTTATTGTCGTTGTCTTAGTAGTAATAGTGCAACAACCTTTTGACATCATTCCATGACTGCTCTAGCTAGTGGCACTACCAGTGCAACTCTCCTCAAGACAACGTCCCTCATTCTTTAGGGATACAGCTCTCTCCAAAGTGACTGCTGATAAGGTCTTAGGCAAAACTGGTACTGGATCGTTTAAGCTTCTCCACTTAATCTTTCTGATTTCTCTATCATTACCTTGATGTTCCTACTTGATTTTATTTTGGCTTCCATTCCAGTGCCCTCATTCAGGATCCATCCAAACTCAATCATTCTCTCACT